TATATAACTTTTCTATATTATCTATTTAAGAAGTCCATTTAAGGGTTCCTTATCAGTTACTATACCTAATATTTCTGCTTAGATGTTTTATTTAAATCCTCTGATTTGATCTTAGTATTAATTTTACTAGGTCACAGACTCAGATCTATTTGCTTTTAACCATATAACTATAATGCTTAAACTATTTTTATTCTTGAGGCAAATCTACCAGAGTAAGCTGTATTTTTTTTACTATTAACTTAGTTTAATGCTATAGTCAAGACCAACACTTGCAGTTAGAGTTATCTAGTAAATTACGATTACTCTTGTAAAGTTTATTTAAATCCTAATACCATCTTTTTGACTTCTTCTTTATCATCTTTTACTAGCCACAACTTAGAACCAACTAACTTTTCAGACTTCTAATCCAGATGGCCTAATATGGTATACTTAGATATCCTTTTCTTTTAATGATTTTAGTAGCCTGGTTGGTCATATGCTCCTTTATACATCTTTGTTATCCAGTTTATCTGACAGTTTTTATAAAGATGTTTCATAGGCTTTCATTAATGATATCATTGAAAGTTTGTGTTATTTTTTTACTTAAGATTTCCAAGTGAGTTTTCATCTTTTTGGTTTCTTAGTCTTTTATGCCTAGTGGCTTATCACAAGTTTGTACAGAAGTCTTATACAACACCAGTTTTTCATATTCCTCTATATATATATAACATTATATAGATGCCTCAAGTTTCCAATATAAAATAGGATCTGACTTGATGTATCTAAGATTACAGATGCCCAAAACCCAACTGATTAGCAAAAAACAGTTACTGTAATATAGATATAATTTCTAAAATTTGTTATCTATGAGAATTAAACCTTAGACCTGCCACTTGAGAGTTGACAATCTATTCACTTTACTAAATCATCATACCCTATTAATTAGCAGTTTATGAAACATCTATATAAGTATAATATTATATAAAGAAATGCAAACTTGTATTAAATAATATAAACTCTAGATAAGTTTTTATAATTATATAAATTTATTAAAATTAGAAAACAAGAAGTCTATTTAGAAAGTACTATTAACCAGACTGTCAGAATGAACTAAAAAAAATGAATATTGGACTGATCTAATATACTAATTAATTTTATATAAACTATCTGAATTAAAAATCTAAAAAATAGACAAAAATATACTAAAGTATTAAGGATATGATGTAAAGGCTCTAAGAGATTTACTTTAAAAATAAAATAGTCTTAAGATTGAGATAATAACCTAAACATAATCTAGTAATATTAATACAGATTTAAATTTAGAAAGTTTAAAATGAAATATCTAAACAAGAATATTAAATACAGTAATTGGTAAGAAACCTTTGAGCAAACTTTTAAATAAGTAATATAGAAAAGTTACACATGTAATTAATTGTATACTTTTTTTGTAATGATTTATAAAATCATATTATCAAAAAAGTTGTTAATTAAAAAGTCAAAAGACCAAAAAAGTCATTTTAAAAAAAATAAAATAAAAATAAAATAAAATACTTTAAAAATTAAAAAATAGTATAAGGAAAATAGATATCAGTTGGGTGCAACTAGAAGATAAAAAGGACTGGTCAGAAGAAGAAGTGACATTAGAACTTGAAGAATAACCTTTAGCAACAATTGCAGAATTGGCAACAATATGATCAGCAATTCTAATGATACTAGAGGAAAAAAATATAGAAGTATATACAGATAGCATTATAGCATTAAGAAATATTAATTAAGCAATTCAAAATATAGAAAATAAAATAATTCTCAAGAAGAAAAACACATAATATAGATAATGAATATTACAGATTTAATTAAAAACAAAAATACTAAAATAGAAATAGTTAAAATTAAAAAGTTATAGTAAAGACAAATGAAATAATAGAGCAGATTTACTTACAAAAAAAGAAGCAAATAGCAAAGAAATGATCTATATAGAAAAAATCAAATGCAACAGAATAGAATACTATATAATATAGGAAAACAAAAAGATTGATATACTAATAAGACTCCTTTATAAGATAATTATGAATACTAAAATTAGAGCTAGTTGGTAAGAAACAAATTCAATCAGATTACTAGAGCCAAAAACTGAACAGACACTATACAATTAATTAAGTTTCTGGAAAGAAATGAACAAAATGAGTGAAATACATTATACATTAAAAAAACTCAGTATAAAAAAAGCTATAGCAATCAAATATATAATGAACAGTCTATCGATATTAAAAGAACTAAACAGAAAAAGACTAGAAGTATATATAATAACAGATTGCCAAGTTTGTCAAGAGGATAAGATAGAAATCCAAGTGCATATAGCAAGCTGTAACAAACAAAGAAGTCTATAAAAATAGATCCAAAAAGTTTTAACAGTAACAGCATAAAATAGTCTTAAAGAAAAAGAAAAAGATAAAATCCTACTACAAGTGCTATATAAGATGCTCTTTAGAGAAACAGAAAAAAAAAATTTGAAAACAGAAAAACACTAATAAAAGGATTCATAACACAAAGGTTAAAAAAGGACTTGAACAGCTATTAAACAAAAATGCAACACAGAAATGTATAGATATAGTAACTAGAACAGTATAGAATACTTTTTATAACCAAGTATTAAAAGTTCAATATGAAAGAGTATAAGAATAAGAAAAAAACTTCAATATAACAAATAAAATGAAAAAGAGCAACAGAGGAAAAGAAAAATTAAAAGAAAAAAAGATAAAAAGCAAGATATCGAAAGAAGACAAAAAATAAAAAAAAATAAAAAAATAAAATGAATAAAGAATAAAGTATTGAAGACAATTAATATACTTGTCATAGAAGAAAGAAAACCCTTTTGATATATTTTTAAGTAGTTAGACAAGCAGTCTATCTCTAACTAAGATAGTACAGCAGATTGCACTTAGGTACCATTAAGGTGGCTGAGTGATGCTAAACTTATATATTAGGAAATTCTATGTAATTATGTATTTATATAGTTTCAAGAATCTTAATAAAGTATTAGTGTAATTGCTTAAAGTTAAAAAAAAATATATATATAAATATACTTTTAACAAATATTAATAAAATCTTAGTAGTTTGAAATTATAACAAGTTATATTTTGTTTAATTCAATTAATGCATTCTTAATTATAATTTATTCTCATAATATATTTATTATGAAAGCTTATCTTATATTCAGAATCTGTTTTATATTTATTGCTAGAAATGTTAATTGGTCTTTTGAAATCAGATTCCACTCAATCCTTATAGAGATCAGTCAAGATTTGGTTCTTACAACTGTTTTTATAAATTCTGAGACAACTGATAAAATTTTAATTGCTGAATTCTATAAGTTATTGATTTCAATTGAAATTAATAACTTATAAAATTCAGTAATTAAAATTTTTTTAGTATCTCAGAATTTATAAGAACAGCTATAAATCACATGATATAATTTGATTTTTTCATAAGACTTTGATTCCAGATTAAAATTCTTATATAAATCCTAAGATCTGATCTTGGAGATTTGAGAGTCTGCTTTTTGTTCCATTATATTAAGAAGAAAATTTAGTATTATCAAAGTTAAGATTATATATTTTTTGACCAAGAACAGTTTTACAAATTGAAAAAAAAGCAAAAATTTTTTTTTGTAATAAATTTGAGGATTAAAATTTAGAAGATATGGTCTTAGGATCAATTTTTAGAATTTAAGTTTAGGACCATCTAGAATTAGATCAAACTGGATTATATTACTATTTATTGCTAAGATCTATTGGTTGACAAAAACAAATCTTTGTTATAAATTTTTTGTACAAGTTAAACAGAACATGCATTTAAGCAAAAACTTAATGTTGAATATGTTGATATTGTATAAATGTTTGTTTTATATTACTAATCATGCTCCAAATCATTGCTAATTTTTACAACTATTCTAGTTAAAATAAAAACAACTGTAAAATTTAATTTAGCTTGTATCTAATAGCATATTGATAGTCTTATAAAACTCTTGTAAGAATTAAATAATCTAAATATTTTATTACTATAGTACTAAATTGAATACTAATAATTATAAATTTATATATAAAATCTGAATAAATTTAAATAAATATCTGAATTCTAATATTTTAAAAAGCAAGATAACATAGATTATTTTTACTATTAATTTTATAGCAAATTATATGATATCATATGATTTACATATAAAATTTTGTTTATATTATATGAATTTCCTATATAAATCTTGTGCAATCTAGGAAACTTATAAGCTGACCCAGGCAAACTTAATAATATATAAAGTAAAATTTTTTTAAATAAAATAAATTCTAAAATTTTATCAATATAATTAGAAGATATAGATTTATATACTATTAAATTTTGGTAACAATTGAATATAAGACCATACCAACTTAATAAATTGGTTCTCGTAACCTGGCTGGGTCAAATTTACAAACCTTTAAAAAAAATTTTTTTAAGTATATTTACTATCTGTGTGAGTTTTTCTAAAAAATTTTTAATGTTTTTTATATATAAAATTTTTTGAAAATAAAATTAAAAGCCAGGTTGCCAGGTCACTTTCAAAAATTTTATGTTATAAGAACCAAAAAATTAACTTGGCCTGGCCTAATACTAAAAAGTTTTATTAGTAATATATTTTTTTTTTATATATAAAATTTTATTTGCTAGGAAAATCATATGACAAATGATCTACGTCACCCCTACCCTTAATTTAGAAGGATATCCGAATGGATATTTTTTAAAACAGATGTTAATCCGGATATCCAAATTGTCATCCGGATCCCAACACTACTTTAGAGTTCGCTTATTGTTATGTTAGGATTTGAGGGACTAGCATATAGTAAAATTGCCTGATCGTGTTACGTAACACCAATGCGTGATTTGTTATTGGATAGTTTCACGTGACCGAAAAATTTTATTTGGCGATCCTATTTCGATCATTTCCCGTGTAACATTGGACGTCCCCAATCGCGTCAACTGATATAACTATGGATGGTTAATATTTAATTCGCTGTTGATTTTGTTTTTAACAAGCGAAATGGAGAAATTTTCAAAATGGAGGGCAAGTTTATGCTAATCTAGTCTAGCCTAGAAAAAAAAACATTATAACATGATAACACAATTTTTTTAATGTTTAGGATGCTGGTACCGGAATTCAACCATTCCTTGCCCCTGTGGTATATAAATACATTTGGTTGTTTTTTTTCAAAGTTGGATGCAAAATAAACGAATAGTCTTATTTATTTAATAGCCTTCGAGAACAAATTCAGATATATACGCGAAAATCGCACTTATACTTGGGATTATTCTTAAGCCAGTTTTAGGGATTCTTAAATTGTTATTGACCGCTGTTATTGCCATATTATTATTTCTTTTAGTAGATGTTATTGGACTAGCTCTGGTATTTCAATCTTCTATCTTCTTAAATACAGTCCTGAAAATGATTCGACTTAAGTCTTCAAATATTGAATATTGATTTTACAAGAAAAACCTGAAGTCCGTATATCGAACATATCACTATATATTCACTTCTTTGTTTTCACGTCTTTCACTTTTTTTCATGGGATTTTATTGGATTCACACAGAGACTGTTTCTTTACGGAAGGGGTATGTATCGTTTCCATTGGAGCTACAATATAATTGAACATCATTTCATGCTTTATGGTGTCAATAGACGTCCCAGTATTCCTAAAGTTCGTCAAATAAATTGCGTAAGACATGGTGATGTGGTAGTTTGCAATTGGACGTCTTATGTAGAAATTTTATACTTGGCATTCAGGTAGTGAACTTTTCTTGATCGCAAAATGTACTTATCATTTATTTATTAACATTTAATTATTATGGTACTGTTTCGTAAATTTTAGGTTTGATCCTGTCTTTACGCAAATTTATCCGGCATCCAACACTTTACGACCAATATCTTTGTGGACTGCGCTCAGACTAACAGGATCATACCCAGAAGCCAAGCCACCAAGTAATGTAAAAACTTATAATCTTCAGGAATTAGTAAGAGAAGCCACGATAAATAAATTGGGACCGATCGTTGTATTTCCTGAGGTAATTTCTAGTTGTATCAACACTTAAATGGTAGGAATCTTGTATTAAATTTCTTTCAACAGGGAACGACGTCGAACGGGCGTGCACTTTTGAAATTGGTACCTATTTTCAAAAGTTTGTCGACGCCTGTAGAAGACTTTTCAATACACATTTTAATTACAAGGTAATGAATGGTTTGATGTAATGTTGTTTTCAATTACATTATAGACTAATTTGACTTAACTTGCTCAGGTATGAATATGAAAACTTTTCACCAACTTACACTATCGGAAATAAGTTCTGGCATTTTGTAATGTTGTGCAGTCAGGTGTGTTAGTAGTCATTTTTTTATGGTTATTTATAAGAGAGTTTAACTATCTAATTGGCAACTAGGATGCATGTGTTCTGAAATTAATGTAAATGCTAATAGCACAAAATTTGTGATTTATTGTACACAGTATTATAATGTCCTTCATGTTAAAATTCTTGCACTTGAAGAGTCCCTATCCTCACCTAATTTTGCGATTCCTGCAATACAATCGTCGGGTATGCCTTCACCATCGATAACACAAGATGATGTTATTGGCTCTCAAATTCTAAATTTAATGGGGCAACTTGGTAGAATGCGCAGAACTAACTTTGGAATGGATGACAAAAAAGCCTTTTTGGATTTTTATTGGGAAAAAACAAGTGGATATGCAAAGAAAAAATAAACACTTAGTATATATATGTCGTGCCCCAAATGGCAATTTTTCCAAATGATAATCTGGCCAATTTTTATTTGGGCTATCCCAAATAACAATCGGGACTAGATTGTTATTTGGGGTACAACATATATGTCAACTCATCTACGTATTAGAAATTAAGTTCAAATATACATGGATCTTTTACATATTCAATGCTTAGAACTAGTTGTACAAAATGTTTAATACGATCGCAATTAAAACTAAAGTAATTGTTATTTTAATGCGGATAAAATACGTACGTATGTACTGCTGATATCTATTGAATATTAGCTCAAATATTACTTATCAGTTTTACGATTTTGTCAAATCTAAAATTTAAGATAATTAAAAATAACTTCTGATTGGTTAGGTTATGTTATTCAAATATGATTATTAGACATCAAAATTGGTTATAAAAATTGAAAATTTAGATAGAATTCTGCTGATTATCGAATTACTAATTTTATAGATTTTTCACAAATTGATAAATTTGGATTTTAAAGTTTTTTTTTTAAACTTTTAGTCATATAGTATCAGTTATAGGACCTTTCTTTTTATTAAAGCTTAAAATGTTGTTTATAATAAAAATTATAGTAAAAACATATGAATTGACTATTAAGGTCAAACAAAATTTATATATTGGTTTTCATAATCCGGCCAGGTCATAAAACTTTAAGTTATAAAATTTTTTTTACAATGAAAAAATACCTGTTATAAATTTCCAGATTATGATTATTTAAATTATAAATAAAAAATTTTTAGTTTAAAAAATTTTAAAATAATTATTAATAAAACCTTGTTACAGGATTGTATGTTATAAAAATCAATAGAACAATTTTATAAGGCCTAACTTTGAGTTAAAGATTTTTTTAAACTTTAAATAACTTAAAATTAAATTTTGTAATTATAAGAACAAAAAAAGAAAAAATTTAGTTTAAAAACTAAATTAAAATTTTGTAAATTTTGTTTATTATACATTAAATAACATTACTTAGAAGGCAAAAATAGGTTATCTTAGCATAAAAATAAGTTAACTATGTAATAAAGATATATTTTTGTCTATTTATATGTAACATTTTTTTATTAAAAAAATCTATTTTTATGTAAATTTATTCAATATACAATTATGTATATATATTTGTCAAAATGCATTTTCTTAAAATTTTTATTAAGTATAAAAATAAAATTAAAATAGAAAAAGTTTAAATTTTTTTAAACTTTAATTTTATTTTTTAGTTAATAAAAAATTTAAGAAAATACATTTTAACAAATATATATATATAATTTCAAAGATACTAATTCTAGTATAGTAGTTAGGTTGTTATTCTTTAAGTAATAAGTTTAGAGTTTAAATCTTATTGATAATAGAATTTTGAAAAATAATTTTATTCTGATAACTTAATTAAAGTATCTGAGATTATAACTTTGTAATTTTAATTGTATTAAGACTAACTTTGAAAGTATACAATGTAAATTGATGCCAAGAGATCATTTTATTTTTTGCTTTATTAATAAGTTGATTTATTGATATTATATTAAGTCTTTTTAGTATTAGGATTACCTAAAAGGTAAGTTTATTTTTTAATACTTTTGCAATTCTTAATTCTTTATCTTTTTCTTCGATATTTATATTGTTAAAATAGAAAAACATTTGCAAGTTTTTTGCTTTTAATATTGTTTAACATGCTAGATTATTTTTTCATAAATTGTTATATACTTTTGGTGTGATTTTATATCAATTCTTCTCTGTTGTATTAACAAACAGAAGGCCTTGGTTTATTTTGATTTTTGTAAGTATCTTTTCTGACTCAGTTAAATTGAATCTTGCATATAAATCTGTAATTTGTTTTGTTATGAGTTAATTTTATAGTGCATTACAATTGTCTATATTCCTATATATAATTATATTATTACTTACTATTTTTGCAATTCCCAATTTATGTTTTGTTAAACCTATTATCAAACTTTGAATAACATCTATTATTCTTTTGGACAGCTTCATAGTTTAAAGCATATAAGTTAATTTTGGTATTATATACATGTTGTTTATATATAATACTTGTATGTTTGTCATTTTTTTAGTATTTAAAAGCCTTGTTATTACACATATTAATTCTTTTGTCTTTGATTTGATTTGATTTTTATTAAATTTGCTATTAAGTCAAATTTCTAAAAATCTTATAATTTTAACTTTTTCTTCTTCATATATCTATTTATTACTGAGTTTGATCTTTTTATTTTCTTTAGATTTATTTGGGTTTGTAATAATTAGTTTTGATTTTTTTTTATTTATTTAAATGTTATTTAGTTCAAAAAAGTTTTCTATAATCTGTAATGTCTGCTCTATTTACTCTTAACTATTTGTTATCCAAGTTGTATCATCTGCAAAAGTTATTACTGTCTGTCTTTAGCTTGTTTTTATTGAATAGTTTAAATTATTATTATATAAATTTGAGATTTTTATCATATAGCCTAGTTTTGGATTTTTTTTGAATTCTCTTGAGCAAAAGATTATAGAAAATTCTCTATACTAAAGGTAAAAACACCTTATCCTATTCTATTTTATTATTTATTACAAATGCTTTTGTACAATCTAGTGTATAATTATTCTAGATTGTTTGTTTTGAAAAAGATTTAAGATTATTTTGATTGTTATTTCTGGAAGTTTAATTCTTTTTATGACTGCTTTTAAGGCTGTTAATGATATTGAGTTAAAGCCTTTTTTATGTTTTGTAGAACTAATTAAAGTTTCTTATTGTTCTTTTTTATATCTTTCATCAATATGTTTATTATATGCACTGATTTTCTGTTAAAGTTCTATAAAATTTGAGTCTCTAAAAATATTTTTTTGCCAAAATATTTTGGTTAATCTTTTGGTTAAAATCTTTATTATACATTTTCAAAATATTTCTAATAGGGCTATTGATCTGATATTACTAAAATTGTAATGCTATTCACCTTTTGAAATTAGATAGATTTGTGATATTTTCTATTTCTTTAATATTGTCTTCATTTTGATACAAATTTCAGCAAATGTTCTAAAAATTTTAAGTACTTTAATTCTAGCTACTTGGATTAGTATATATGTAATATCTAAAATTCTTAGTACTGTTTTTGTTTTAAGCCTTTAAATTATTTTATTCTATTCTTTTTCAGAAATATTTTGATTAAGATCTTTGTATCATTCTTTTTTGATAAACTCTTTCAGCTTGTATATTTCTTTTCATCTTTTTTTGTGAATATTTTGGTTAAAATAACATGGTCTAAACTGATTTTGGTAGTGTTCTTTTGTTTTTATAAGTTTTCTTCTGACTTAATAACTAGGTTTTTTTGTTTTTCTTCTTTATTAATAAGTCTGTTTAGTTAAATTTTCTTTATTGGTTTGTTTAAAAGGCTTATTAGTATCATGTTTTGTTTTTCATTAATTATTTGGCATCTTCTTTTTATATTGTTTTTTATTTTTTTTCTTTTGTCCTTCTAGTTTACTAATTCTTCTTATTCAGAATATTCTCTACCAACCTTTTAGATCTTTAATAAGCTTATATGTCCATAATTATACTAAGTCTATATAAGTTTTATAAAACTTATTAATAAATCTAATTTTTTCATTTAGTTCATCTATATTATCTTTTAAAAACTCTAGTTTGATGTTTATTTTTTCTATACTAATCTACTTTTCTAATTGTGTAAGAGTTTTATTTAATTGAGATTCTTTTATTTTCTTTTTTTTTTACTTAAAGTATTTGAAATTTTTCTTTTTAAAATATATTTTCTTGCTATTGTAATAATACTATTGCTAATTGTATTTTATCATTCATTTAATTAATTATATTCTTTAATATCTTTATTTGTCTATAAAAACTGTTGTAAATCTTAAATGCTAATTTTCTTTTCTAATACTGAATTAAGCTTCTGTCTATATTTTTTTTAGTCTTCTTTGGTTGCTTTATCATAAAGAAAGATTATTTTTTTATAATTTTTCTTTCTTATTTCTGTTATGCTATATGGTATAATTAGGTGGCTTAATTCTATTTTTACTATAACTGTCTTGTGATTACTATTTGTACAAGTATCCATTTCTTGAATTTCTGTCTTATAGAAACCATTTGCTAACTCTTCTGTAACTTAAATATAATTGATTTTTGTTTCTGATCCATATTCAAACTATAAGAACTCTGTTGCATTTGGATTAATTATTCTAAATGTATCACTAAACTCTTGTCTTTTTAGCTAGCTGAGCAGTGAATCTGACTTTGCTTGTTTTTTCTTTTGGTTTATTAGTTTGTCTAAGTTTAAATTTACTATTACATTAAAGTCTCTTATGACTACTATTTGTGTTCTTGGTAATCTTTTAACATATTTGTTAATTATTGACTTCTAAATTATTTTTTTTTTTTTTTATTATTTGAAGATAGGTAGGCTATTATAATTATAATTACAACTTGTTTAAAAAAGAAACTAGCAGAAATTATATATTCATTTGTTCTTTCTATGTGACCTAAGTGTTTTTACCATTTTTAGTTAATTAATAATTTTACTTCTGAATCTTTCTTCTTATCTGGATTTGTACTTGACCAGATGCTTTTGTAATCTTTTAAATTTTTTTCTAAAAAAAAACCTTCTTTAACTGAAATATTTGTTTTTGCTAGATCTACTATGTCTAGTTTATTATTAATTATCCAATTATAAAGTGTTTCTAACTTTTGGCTATTTGATTTAAGCTTATTAATATTGTATATTTCTAATTTCAATTCAATTCTTTCATTCTTATATATTCTTTTTATCCTTAGTGATTTTTTTTCATCATTTTTTATTTCTTTATTTAAATATAGAATATTTCTTTGTATTTTTTTTTTTTTGAACTTTGGCGACAATGCCAGTTGGTTATTATTAGCTTTAATTTGATATAGTACAAATTTATGGTTACATTTAAGGATCGATTATTACTAGTACTATATACTATCTAATTTAACACCACTGACTTTATC